GCCTCGGCCCCGGCGGACAGGACCGCGGAGCCCCTCCGGTGCGGCCGCCTGCACGGGGCCGGGCCAGGCCCGAACAAGCCTGCCAGCCTCGCGCCCCGCTGCTGCCCGGCAGATGGGAGCGGGCGCGTCGGGGCTTGAGGGCCCAGGGGAGTCGCGCTGGAGCGGTGCCAGGCTGCCTCCTCCCCGCCGCGGGGCGAGGGGGAAGGAGGCTGGACCCTGGCGCTGGGTTGCCTGCCGCGCTCTCGTCTTTCTTAGAGCAGGATTGATCCCAGGGACAGAATAAGAGAGCTGGCAAGAGCCTGGAGGGCAGCAAAGGGGGAGATGATTTTAATCTTTCTGTCTTACAACAGTAGACGTGGCTGCGCTCGGCACGGACCAGCACCGCCGCTCGCCGTGGACGTGGGGCGCGGAGGCAGCGCCAGGAGCAGGGCTCATGGGGTGCTGCTTGCCCGTGCTGGGGCTCGTCCGTGGCTCAGGGGACAGAAGAGACTCTCACTTGAGCACCAGGAAATACGTGGTCCAGCCGGCCAGCAGCAGTGCCCCGATCAGCACCGTGTAGCTGAACAGCACGAAGGCCAGGAGCTCCTTCAGCACCTTGAGGAAGTGAACAGCAAAGGGCTCCTGCATGGTTCCTGCAGGCCGGGCCGGGTGTCTGCGGTGCCCTCTGCTTCCCCACCGGCGCCTCCCGGTCTCTGCGGAAGAAGGGGCAGGGTGAGCCCTTGGGGTGAATGCCTGGGGAAGGGGCTGGGTTCGGTGGCCCGGACTGGGACCTGGACGGACTTAGCAGCGCCATTGATCGGTGGCCAGGAAGCTTCGTGTTCGGAGCATTCGCTGATGGTGCATTAGTACCAACAAATGCTCTGATCAAAGCAGCCGGTGCCTCCAGGGAAGAGGCCATTAATATTTAATATGATAATTGCTTCTAATGGCCGCACCGGCATAAGCAGAGCCTTTTGTTTAGGATCAGGGGAAATTTTGGGTTGAAGTCAGAGTTTGTTCAGCTAAAAGCCTCGTACGTTGTGTTAAAAATAACCCTTGCCTATAAGGGGACGGGACTGAGATGTCCCGAGCTCACGTCCCATCCTGCTGTGACTGTGCCAGGCTGGAGATGCCACCTCTGCTAGTGAATCAGTGGACACATTCGCCAGAAGTTTTTCCTCTTGTAACATCTCCCTAAATCCTCCCCTCGCCCCCGCTGCGGGGTCGCTGAGCTTCCATCAGAACGTTACAGATCAGAAATGCTGTCCCTCCTCATCACGTGCACACATGGGAGATGAAAGCAGGGTCAGGATAAAGCTGCCCTGATAGGATATTTCTCTCCCAGACAGTAAAAAGCCTGGGGAGCAAAAGGACTTTCCCTCCTGCCACTTAATTTTCAAAAGAGCTGTGGCCAGAGCCTGCTCCCTTTTTGTTTCTCATGAAATTTCTCCTTTGCTCTCTTAATACTCTTCTTAAAGGGTCCCTTGTTGCCTCTGCCAGTATCAGGTATAAAGACATTGCAGGGTAGACCCTTTCTCTAGATCCTGAGGATTTCTGAGCACGGAAATTATTTCTCACTGTTTTCTTTGAGCTTTGTTTTAGAACAAAACGTATGCCGACGGGGAGAGGTCTCTGCTTACCCGGAGAGATGGTTGAATCCACCGCTGAAAGTTTGTTCTCCTCCGCTGCTGTTCCTCTGTGCTCTCCCTTCAATGTCTGGCTTCTGAGAGGTTTGTGATGTATTTTGATCCCTTCTGATCTGCTAATCCGGCGAGCAGGAGGAGTGAGGTTGCATTTACAGGCTGCCCAAGGATGCTAATGGGCTAGGTGTGGCCAGGAACCGATTATTATCTATGACATAGACCCTTTGCTTTCTCTGTGCTGATGGCACAGTGGGGCAGAACCAGCCAAACACCGGAGTTGCCACAAAGCCTCGGGAGGTTTGGTGAGCTGTGGTCCCTATTTGAGAGCGCCTGCCCCTTCCCCGTTGTGCTCTTCAGCACCCCCAGGACGCCCCGTAATTCTTCTGAAGCAGTCCTGGGGGGCATCTCCTGCCTCTCACTTCACCACTTGGGTTCCTTGGGGGTCAGAGAGGTTATTGCGTTTGCTCCCCCAGTGTAGGACTGTCTGTTCTCTTAGAGCCTCCTGTGCCCAGAGGGACCGTGAGGAGGACGCTGGAGCACAGCTGGGGCTCTCCAGAGATCAGCGCAACGTGACAGGCTGGATGGCTGTGGGCGTAGTAGGTCCCACCGCGCAGTGCCGGAGGCAGGCTGCTTTCCCTGTGGAGCAGCACCAGCCCCATTCTCTGCTGCCCTTCCAGCCCGTGCACCCCCCCCCCCCCCCCCCCCCCCCCCCCCCTCCCCCCCGTTCCCAGCAGCCATGGGGGGAGGTGGTTTTTAAACGCCGTTACCAACAAGAAGTCAAGCTCAGCCTGTGCTTAGCTCATTGCTTTCTGCTGATCTGACTGGAAGGTTGAGGTGCATCCTGCTTTGCTCCTGAGCAACTAGACAATTGCAGGCAGCAGAGAAGCAAGAGCATCTCCTGCAAATCCAATCTCTTGCCTGCAATGACATTAGGGCTTGGCAAATGGCCTCTTAATTGAATTTGGATCTCTTGTTATCAAATTATTACCCGCGTGGCCAGCAAGGCCTCAGACAGCGGCAGGGGATAATCAAGCTACTCAGGAAGCCTGTTAGAAAATAATTGCTCCTCCAGAGAATTGGTCAACTCCAGCTTTCTTTGCTTTTTCAGGGAAAGGCCATCAATACCTGGCCTCTGGTTAAGCAAGTCCTCCCCCCTCGGCCAGGACAGGCTGAGCTTGGGCGTAGGGTGATATGTGATGAGATGCACGCTACGAATGGTTTTTGATGCAGCAAAGCCAGTGTCCCTGATGCGCTCGTTTGTTGGTATGAATGAGGAAGGTAAGCGCTGGCTCGTTTTTGAATTACTCCTGCTGTTCTGTGCATCACGGAGCATGGCTGAAGCACAGAGCCTGGCTGTTGCACTCGGCCTCTACGTAGCATCACAGACTGAGTCTTGAGCAGTAACAAAGACGTGGTATTGTAGGAAAAATGTGAAGCCAAACAAACTGGTCTCTGAGTAAACCCGTGAGATCGATTTATTTTTCAAAACCCTGCTCTTGGTTTTTGAACCCAAAAGCCTTGGTGTGCTCTCGGCAATGCTCTTACTTAGCTGCTAGCTGGATGGCTTGCATGCAGTTTAACTGTAATCCAAGGCCTGTTGCTGCAGTACTGCAACCACACTGCTTTATGGCTTGATCTGCCATGCCTGTGGCCCACTGAGAGCAACTGGAGCATGGGGAGCCCAAACCCTTCAGCCAGTGTAAGCATTTAAGGCTGAAGGGACAGGCAAGCTCTTCTGAGACAGTGTCAGCGCCCTGTGCTGTGGAAGGGAAGCTTGGCTTTTGTAAGGGAGTTTGCCACACGCTCGCCTGCCTCAGCAGGATGAGCTGCACCTACGAGTGCAGGGCTAGAAGAGGCTGTGGGCCTGTGGGGGCTGTGCTGTGGCTGCAGCAAAGTAAATGGAGCTGAAGGCCTGTGCGCCGTGAGCTGCGTGATGGTAGGGAGG